GGGGGGGAGGGGTGGTGTGTGTCTGTGTCTGTGTCTGTGGGTTCGTATAGATATGTATATGATATTTGCAAGTATGTATATACATACATGTATATGATTATCATGTACTTATATTCGTTCTCATATATATATATATATATGTGTGTGTTTGTGTGTGTGTGTGTCTGTCTGTGTCTATGTATGTGTCAGTGTGTGCGTACACGTGTGTGTGTGTGTTTGTATATATATATATGTGTGTGTATGTATGTATGTATGTATGTATGTATGTATGTATGTATGTATGTATGTATGTATATGTATATGTATATGTATATTTATATATACACACATACATATGTGTGTATGTATATATATATGTATATATATATATTCCTGTGTCTGTGTCTGTGTCTGTTTCTGTGTCTATGTCTGTGTCTGTGTATTCATAACTATATGTATAGCTTCAGTGACAACCGTATCTCTAATTATACTTGTATAACAACAAAAATACTTTATCCAATGACATATTATAAATACAACTAGGTCCTTCCCTCACAATACATGTTGGCTTTCTATACCGGTCAGGCCTAGTTCATTCTTTATCCCAAGTGTCCCTGCTTCCCCATAGCTTCCCCTGCTATTCTATCTACGCTGATAAACCCACCCCCTTGTTTTGGTATAAACCCTTCTATTCTATTGTTATATATCCTATTTTATTTGCGCCACATAAGATCCTTCCGGTCTCAAGACGTCGAGGTGTTAGTGCGCCAGTCAGACACTGAGTACACTGCACCTGTTGTAGTGGTTGCGGATATCCAATGCCCACTTCCTCTGCCTGCCTTTGGCTTGGAATGCCGGAATGGTATGCATCTATACACTCTGTTTTTATAGAAGGCGTAGAGTCGTGTGTTCAGTGAGGTTAGGGTTTCGGGTGTATCTGCATACTCCGTTTATATAGAAGGCGTAGAGTCATTTGTTCAGTGAGTTTAAGGTTTAGGGTTTACGTACTCTGTTCATATAGAAGCCGTAGCGCCGTGCGTTCGCTGTGAGTGGTAGGTATGGTATACAATAGACATGCACATCTGTGTGTGTTGTATGAGCTACTTGTATTCATACTGTCAGTGGTTGCTGTGAGTAGTAGGTATGGTATACAAAAGACTTGTACATCTGTGTGTGGTGTATGAGCTACTTGTATCCCTACTGTCAATGGCTGTACACATACCCAAGTGATAAGCTGCAACGATTACTCAGCTCCTTTGACCGTGTGTGGGGGGGGGGAGCCTTTGTGGGTGTGTCCATACTTCGTCTCACTTCCCACGGAGTACACGCGTTGGTGTATGACATTTGCTGCTATCTACCACTGACGCAAACCATAGATCTCATGTTACACCTGCAGTCTATATACACCTTCAGGGTTCTGTGGGAAAGAATGGGAGAAGCTTTGTGTCGTACTTTATTCGAAATGGAGCGCAATGTTACGTATGGTTTATCAGTCAACACTCTCTGTGTATGTACCCAATCCCCGTCCGCCAACACACACAGTGGTAGGCATGAGTGTGTGCATGGCAAAGCGTGTTCTTACCTACCGTATCCCCGTGTACTATATTAAGTCGGGTGTGAGATTGCTACCGGTGTAGTATACCATATTTCACGCACACTATGGCTACGTAACGTATCTATCTATCATCTGATTGGTTGAGTAGATCTACTCGAGCACGTGGCAAGGTCTGTTTAACTCACTCCGATCCCATCTCTGAATACGTAAATGGCACATCAGAGCTACAATTTCATACTGTTCCCGCCCCACATCCACCATATGTATACCATTGCTCAAGTAAGGTAATTACGTATAAGTAAGGTATGGTGAATACGTATCAGTAAGGTAGTTACGTATAAGTAATGTGAGTACATTTATGTAAGGTAATTATGTATAAGTAAGGTAATTTCGTATTAGTAAGGTGAATACGTATCAGCAAGGTAGTTACGTATAAGTAATGTGAGTACATATTTATAAGGTAATTATGTATAAGTTAACAATGTAAAAGTAAGGTAATTACGTATAAGTTAGGTGATTACGTATAGGTAAAGTATTTACGTGTAAGTAGGGTAGTTACGTATATGTATGGTATTTACGTATAAGAAAGGTGATGACGTATAAGTAAGGTATTTGCTTGCAAGTACGGTATTCACATATAAGTGAGGTATTTACGTATAAGTAAGGCATTTACGTATACACGACCTTAAGTAAAATACCTACATATAACCAAGGTATATCCACGCACCTCTCCATGATTGCCCTGACATATGCCCCCATCTCTTCCCTGTTTCTCTCTCCCTTTGTAGCTCTGTTTTTGCTGGATAACGAATGGACTTTCGTCAACCATGGCGCCTTTGGAGCGGCCAATCGGTTGTCGTTCGAAACCGCTCAGAAATGGCAGAGATACTTGGTGTGTGTGTGCCGGTGTCTCGTATTGCATCGTGTGTGTGTGATTGATAGTACTATGTTAAGGTTGTGTGTGTGTGTGAGTGATAGTATATGTTAAGTATAGGTGTGTGTGGTACTATCTTTGGGTGCGGGGTGTAGTGTGTTGTGTGTATTTATGTCTCGTATTGCATCGTGTGTGTGTGTGATTGATAGTGCCATGTTAAGGTTGTGTGTGTGTGTATGTGATAGCATATGTTAAGTATAGCTGTGTGTGGTACTACCTCTGGGTGCGGGGTGTAGTGTTGTGTGTATTTATGTCTTGCTGATCCTCACGCACTCTCTGTAGCTAATCGCTTTCGGTGTGTCTTGAGTTTTGAGGTGTGTGGGGTGTGTGGTGGTTTTTCCCCAC